CACCAACACATTTCCTTCTCAAACAACCATGTGATGTATGAACCCGACAAAATACTGAGATTTTTCTTTTCTTGACTGAGTTGACTTTGGCGATGATTGCTCTAAGAATTTTTAAACGTCATTCAAACCAGCACCAACAACACACTTACGTTGACGATCATAAACATGCCAGTTATCAACAATAATTCTATTGCTACTTTGTGATCTTTTTTCTTCACTATGAAGTCACATGAGATGGGTGGCAATAACTGTTAATTTTAAGCAAATAGGCCTGGTCCTTCTTTGATATTGCAACAGTCAAGACAATACATTTTAATCTATACGTTAGCTGCGGCAAGCATAATTCAATGACAGTTTTAGACGAAAGCCAAGCTTTGCATTTGCAGAGGGTTAGTGGTTTTAAACAGCATCTTGTAATGCGAAATGTCCACAAACCGTTTAATTTTCAAAACTATCATTGTGTAGCATTTTGTTATGCTGGTGTTGCCTAATTGTTTGCTGGCACTAATTGTTATTCTGCTTACAACTCACCAAATATCTAAAATATAGTTTTAACCACACGATGCTATTCCTTAATTTGAACCATTTACCTTGCTATACAAGCTAGGTCAGAAGTATAGTCATATACTATTTTATTTTCATGCGAACCTATTAATGATGTTATCAATTTAAGTGTTTTGCCTCATAATGACCTCATACTAATTCAAATGTCGTAAAGCTTTTGCAAACAGGACTTTTGGCAATTTAGTTGGGACTTCAATTATCATTTTAGTTTAGTGTGGTTTTACCGAGAGCAATAGCTCGTTTAATACGCGCTGATTATTATTTGACGGCATAGGAGGTTTTGTTTTAAGTAATAATATACTCATATCTATTAATAACCGAATATCACATTGACGAGTCACGAACTATGCTGACAACAATACAAATTATAGACACTTAGACACCAACACATTTCCTTCTCAAACAACCATGTGATGTATGAACCCGACAAAATACTGAGATTTTTCTTTTCTTGACTGAGTTGACTTTGGCGATGATTGCTCTAAGAATTTTAAACGTCATTCAAACCAGCACCAACAACGCACTTACGTTGACGATCATAAACATGCCAGTTATCAACAATAATTCTATTGCTACTTTGTGATCTTTTTTCTTCACTATGAAGTCACATGAGATGGGTGGCAATAACTGTTAATTTTAAGCAAATAGGCCTGGTCCTTCTTTGATATTGCAACAGTCAAGACAATACATTTTAATCTATACGTTAGCTGCGGCAAGCATAATTCAATGACAGTTTTAGACGAAAGCCAAGCTTTGCATTTGCAGAGGGTTAGTGGTTTTAAACAGCATCTTGTAATGCGAAATGTCCACAAACCGTTTAATTTTCAAAACTATCATTGTGTAGCATTTTGTTATGCTGGTGTTGCCTAATTGTTTGCTGGCACTAATTGTTATTCTGCTTACAACTCACCAAATATCTAAAATATAGTTTTAACCACACGATGCTATTCCTTAATTTGAACCATTTACCTTGCTATACAAGCTAGGTCAGAAGTATAGTCATATACTATTTTATTTTCATGCGAACCTATTAATGATGTTATCAATTTGAGTGTTTTGCCTCATAATGACCTCATACTAATTCAAATGTCGTAAAGCTTTTGCAAACAGGACTTTTGGCAATTTAGTTGGGACTTCAATTATCATTTTAGTTTAGTGTGGTTTTACCGAGAGCAATAGCTCGTTTAATACGCGCTGATTATTATTTGACGGCATAGGAGGTTTTGTTTTAAGTAATAATATACTCATATATATTAATAACCGAATATCACATTGACGAGTCAGGAACTATGTTGACAACAATACAAATTATAGACACTTAGACACCCACACATTTCCTTTTCAAACAACCATGTGATGTATGAACCCTACAAAATACTGAGATTTCTCTTTTCTTGACTGAGTTGACTTTGGCGATGATTGCTTTAAGAATTTTAAACGTCATTCAAACCAGCACCAACAAAGCACTTACGTTGACGATCATAAACATGCCAGTTATCAACAATAATTCTATTGCTACTTGTGATCTTTTTTCTTCACTATGAAGTCACATGAGATGGGTGACAATAGCTGTTAATTTTAAGCAAATAGGCCTGGTCCTTCTTTGATATTGCAACAGTCAAGACAACACATTTTAATCTATACGTTAGCTGCGGCAAACATAATTCAATGACAGTTTTGACGAAAGCCAAGCTTTGCATTTGCAGAGAGTTAGTGGTTTTAAACAGCATCTTGTAATACTAAATGTCCACAAACCGTTTAATTTTCAAAACTATCATTGTGTAGCATTTTTGTTATGCTGGTGTTGCCTAATGCTTTGCTGGCACTAATTGTTATTCTGCTTACAACTCACCAAATATCTAAAATATAGTTTTAACCACACGATGCTATTCCTTAATTTGAACCATTTACCTTGCTATACAAGCTAGGTCAGAAGTATAGTCATATACTATTTTATTTTCATGCGAACCTATTAATGATGTTATCAATTTAAGTGTTTTGCCTCATAATGACCTCATACTAATTCAAATGTCGTAAAGCTTTTGCAAACAGGACTTTTGGCAATTTAGTTGGGACTTCAATTATCAATTTAGTTTAGTGTGGTTTTACCTAGAGCAATAGCTCGTTTAATACGCTGATTATTATTTGATCGGCATAGGAGGTTTTGTTTTAAGTAATAATATACACATATCTATTAATAACCGAATATCACATTGACGAGTCACGAACTATGCTGACAACAATACAAATTATAGACACTTAGACACCAACACATTTCCTTCTCAAACAACCATGTGATGTATGAACCCGACAAAATACTGAGATTTTTCTTTTCTTGACTGAGTTGACTTTGGCGATGATTGCTCTAAGAATTTTAAACGTCATTCAAACCAGCACCAACAACACACTTACGTTGACGATCATAAACATGCCAGTTATCAACAATAATTCTATTGCTACTTTGTGATCTTTTTTCTTCACTATGAAGTCACATGAGATGGGTGGCAATAACTGTTAATTTTAAGCAAATAGGCCTGGTCCTTCTTTGATATTGCAACAGTCAAGACAATACATTTTAATCTATACGTTAGCTGCGGCAAGCATAATTCAATGACAGTTTTAGACGAAAGCCAAGCTTTGCATTTGCAGAGGGTTAGTGGTTTTAAACAGCATCTTGTAATGCGAAATGTCCACAAACCGTTTAATTTTCAAAACTATCATTGTGTAGCATTTTGTTATGCTGGTGTTGCCTAATTGTTTGCTGGCACTAATTGTTATTCTGCTTACAACTCACCAAATATCTAAAATATAGTTTTAACCACACGATGCTATTCCTTAATTTGAACCATTTACCTTGCTATACAAGCTAGGTCAGAAGTATAGTCATATACTATTTTATTTTCATGCGAACCTATTAATGATGTTATCAATTTGAGTGTTTTGCCTCATAATGACCTCATACTAATTCAAATGTCGTAAAGCTTTTGCAAACAGGACTTTTGGCAATTTAGTTGGGACTTCAATTATCATTTTAGTTTAGTGTGGTTTTACCGAGAGCAATAGCTCGTTTAATACGCGCTGATTATTATTTGACGGCATAGGAGGTTTTGTTTTAAGTAATAATATACTCATATATATTAATAACCGAATATCACATTGACGAGTCAGGAACTATGTTGACAACAATACAAATTATAGACACTTAGACACCCACACATTTCCTTTTCAAACAACCATGTGATGTATGAACCCTACAAAATACTGAGATTTCTCTTTTCTTGACTGAGTTGACTTTGGCGATGATTGCTTTAAGAATTTTTAAACGTCATTCAAACCAGCACCAACAAAGCACTTACGTTGACGATCATAAACATGCCAGTTATCAACAATAATTCTATTGCTACTTGTGATCTTTTTTCTTCACTATGAAGTCACATGAGATGGGTGACAATAGCTGTTAATTTTAAGCAAATAGGCCTGGTCCTTCTTTGATATTGTAACAGTCAAAACAATACATTTTAATCTATATTTTAGCTGTGGCAAGCATAATTCAATGACAGTATTGACGAAAGCCAAGCTTTGCATTTGCAGAGAGTTAGTGATTTTAAACAGGATCTTGTAATACGAAATGTCCACAAATATTTTAATTCTCAAAAATATCATTGTGTAGCATATTGAACAAAATTTTTGTCGACTGTTCTCATTTTACTTTGTTATGGTGGTGCTGCCTAATTGTTTGTTGGCCCTAATTATTATTCTGCTAACATTTAACCGAATATCTAAAATATAGTTTTAACCGCACAATGCTAACCTTATTTTCAACCATTTACCTTGCCATACAAGCTTCGTCGTTTGTATAGTTTAAGGCTTATAATTCTATTTTATTTTCCTACAAAGCGAATGAAAATCTTGGAAAAATACTGTTAACAAATGTGATTTGACTGAGCAATGATTTTTAATAATTTAAATAAGGCAAGGTTTGACCAAAAAATGTAACATCTGCGTCGACGTGAGCACAAGAATTAATTAAAAAGCATAAACCGAATTAAAATAAAACTAAAACAATCTGAAGCGAAACAAAGTGTAAGAGAAATTTATGCTGTTGAGGCGTGTTCTTGGTTGGCCAAATAATTCAAAGACAAAATTTTGCATAAGCAATCTCGTACAATATTTTTTTGTATTCTTCTTCTGTGCTCCACTGACTTAAGGCAATCCTACAATCTGTAAAATCGTCATCTTCGCTAAAATCATCTTGAAAAAACTGTTTAAATGCAAGTGTCTGTGTGAACGTATTAGCTATGTAAGTGAAAACATTCAGAACCTATGTAACGTTGTAACAAGGTATATTAACGCCATATGCAATCAATTGGTTAAACGTGACCTTGTGTCTCAAAAAGCAGTGAAGTGTAGAAAATTACTACTCATAAAATACCAGAAAAGTTGTCTTTAAGGTCATTACTGATTTGACATTATCAGAGTTTGGAAGAGCTTTCGCTAAGACGTTGACAAGTTTGCTAAAAAGTTGAAGGTAAGCTGGTTAATTTTTTTAACTTTTGTAAGCTGCTTTCTTTTCTAAATCTATTGGTCGCACTTTGACAATTAACGTAAATCAACTAAATTAAAGAACTACTGCCTTGCCGTAGTATGAGGTTTAATTTCATTGCGTTTTGTCGTAGAGCATTTCATATTAAGATTTACAAAATGTCCGTAAAAGCGAGGTGACGGTGAAATGAGAGTTTGTGTAAGAATGTAATTGAAAGCAAATGAAAATCTCCACTGACTTAAGGCAATCTTACAATCTGTAAAATCGTCATGTTCGCTGAAATCATCTTGCAAAAGCTGTTTGAATGCAAGTGTCTGTGTGAATGTATTAGCTACGTAAGTAAAAACATCTATCACCTACGGAAAGCAATCAACTGTTGCAGATGTTCTGTACATTGATTGTTGTTGTACAATCATTATGCGCTCTATGATGAATGCCGTGCAATTACAGTTTAATTTAATTTTCATTTAAACACTGAGTTTGGCGAATCCCTTTGGTAAATACATGCAGTGTGCGAGGGCAATATGAAAAGCGTATTTGCTGATAACACCCCTACCTTTTTCTGTCAAGTAGAACTGCAACTTAATATTCGAACAGAATGACTACTTCTGAACAAAAGTATCATAATATAAAACTAAATATATGTAGGAATTAAACCTGTGGCATAGTGTGGTAATGTGCATAATGGCAATGCAATAATATTTCTAGCATGTTGAAAATTGGTTTAAAACTGCTTGATTTTGCCATTGAGCTTGCTAACCATCCTGCAATGACACAATGTGTATGTGAAATTTTGTTTGACATAATATATACTTTTTATTGCTAAAATTCTTGACATATATATATTTTGCTTCTTGCAAAAGCAACAAACGTGGTACATTTCCATGCTTCTTGCAGCTGCTTGTTAGTAACGATTATAAGTTTTGGTGAGTACTACGAATTAAAATTTCACATACTTGTTTTGTTTTCATACCATGGAAATTGAAAGAAACGCATTTTTTCTCTTGCGTAACATCTGGAAACGAATCTCTAGCACCTGTAACCCAACAGCAAATTTAAAGTTGGATCAGTTTAACATTGAAATAACTAACTGTCGCAATTAAAAAGTATTTATCTTTGTACTCAAATAGTCTCAGCATAAACGTCATACACATACTTAACAATGTGAAGTATTTGGTACCATACTTTGAAAGTGAAGGAAAGCCTCACATATTTACAGTTTAATTCAATTCTTTTAGGAAAAATTAACAAAACATTGCAGTCTTAACATGAAGTTGGCAATTACTCTTTCTACATTAACTCTTGCATTTGTTTGTGGAACAACATTTGTGGAGAGTATTCACCCATTTTGGTTACCAACGACAAAACCAATGCCCACTTTACCTCCAATTAGTGACAAGGAGTTTTATGACAGTAAGTAAATGCTATGAACTTGTTACGTGGTAGTGAAAAGAAATGGCTTATCACATTGTTCTATTTTTGAAAGAAACTCGATGAGTAGCCATAATCATAAACACCCTTATGAAATACAAAAGATTTTAAGATAGCTATATAAGGAATATCTTAAAAATAAGAAATATCTAAAAAGTAAAGGATTTTGCTGTGTTTGCACAGGCTTATGCAAACCGCTAACACCTTGAAAAGAACTGGAGAGCGCAGACCAGTGCAAGCCAGAGACAGAAGGCTCTGGGTTGCACCTGCTCGAGAACTCTCACAAGCGTCTGCAAGGTTTACGTCTACGCCAGGGCAAATACGAAAAACATCTTATTTTTTTTATAAAATTACAATATATATTGTATTCATGGTTGATTTGTAAATCCTCTATAAATAATTGATTGATTAAATTATTAGGTTGAGATCATATCTGTTTTTGCACTAGCTAATAAACATCTATTGACCAATAAGCCCACAAGTTTTACGGATTTTGGTAAACGTTTTAACAAACAAGTTGTTCATGAAATATTTATTTCAGAATTCAAACAAATTCCTCCAATAACTGTGACAGCAGATAAAATTGTAAAGAAATTCTTTCGTCTGCCATCTTCTGTCCTGAATAAACGAAGAATCTACCTTGAAGACACAGCTGTTGTAATGGATTCATCTGGTTCCATTGGAGATTGCGAGTACAAGAAGGGAAAACAAGCTATAAAAAATCTCATAAATATAATATTACCTGACAGCATCGACGGTTACTGGGCTGGTGTTCAGTACTCCAATTACGCAAGAATTATGTTCAATTTCTTTCCTGCTTCACAAGCTGCCACAAAATCTGATTTGTTTTTTTTTTGAAAATGGAGGGACGAACACTGCTGACGGTTTAGCAAAAGCAAAAGATTTATTTGATGATCCTACGAAAGGTAAGTTAGATTAGCTAATATACGAATATTTCAAATATTTTGTGCACGTAAATACTTCATGATTTCTACAAAGGATGCATTAAAAGAATCCATTTTTTTGGATCACACAACAAAAAGAAGTTATTGTCATAACAGGCGTTTAAATGGCGTTCGAACAACATGATGCTTACAAAATTTCTGATATCAAAAACAAATCCTATCTGTCAAATCTCTCATATACTGCAGCAATCGAGATATTGTAAATTAAACAAGCAGTTATAGCTATATCAAATTATTTGCTGCATAAAGTCTAAAAGTTTTCATTCTATATGCTAGGTAGCCGTCTTTTGGTTTCAATTACTGGAAAAAGAATGAATGAATGAACTTTCTAAAAAAATGAAAAATTTATATTGTAGGAGTAAAAGATTGGGCTGACTTTGCCACCGATAGTTAATAAAATATTATAATACATATAGCTACGAATTTTCAGAGCTTGAACGGTAGCTACTCATTTTAAACACAAAAAAGAATACATTTTGTTAATAAGGCATAAGAGCGGTAATGCTAATTAAGCCAAAGCTTTGTGCCTGTCCGATAAAATTATTTTGCTAAGTAGTGCATGCTCATTAAAAGATTCGTGATTTTGAACATGTATAACACTGTAAGTGAGGAGATTATTTTGAGATTCTTTGTTTTTTTAAATATTACATTTCATAAGCTCGTCACAATGGTTTGTCCTGTATCTGTTGTTTGATAAAAACGATAATAATATTTCTTAAACAAGAACATTTTCTTTCACAAATTGGATAAAATGTCTATCTTTCAAACTGTCTCAAACAAATGCATTCATTTCTTTTTTGTACAATTTACAGGAAGCCGTCGTGGTGCACGTCAAATGGTGTTCCTTGTGACAGATGGACAGTCAAACATAGATCAAGGCCAAACCGTTCCAAATGCAAGAAAACTGAAAGATGACGGTGTAGAAGTCTTTGTTATCGGTGTTGGAGATTTTAGCAGTGGAATTGAAGAAATAGTTCAAATTGCTTCATTACCAGTGGAAGATCATGTTCTCAGAGTTAAGAGCTATGGAGACATGATCGATGTTGTCAAACTTGTGATCAAAGAAATTAATCCCGGTCAATATGTAATAGTTGAGAAAATTCCTCCTCCTTGTTAAAAAGTGATTAACCCTTTGTCGCACTTGTATTTTTTCTTCGAGAAAAATTAAATTTTTTTTGCATTAAATGTAGCTATTTTTTAATGACATGGAAGTTGATCTAACTGAAATGAAAAAAAAAGATAAATTATGTTACAATACTGCTGTCTCTGATACACATATTACAATCTTAAGCAAAAGTAAAGATTTTGAAATATTTACTTCCGATTGCAACATTGCAACGCCAAACTTGGACCTCATATTTTTGCAACTTTTTTTCGCGTCATGCAAAGCCAGGGATCTGTATTACAGTTTACGTTTATTCAAAATCTAAAAACTAAATATTTAACTCTTCCAACAGAAAAACCTTTGAAATATTGCATATCTTTCATACCATAGATGCTTATACAGTGCTGTTGAAGGGGTGGGGGGGAGGGCGCTTGGTGGAGGAGCCTCACCCTTCTACATTTGAAATGGGTAATTTTTCATAATTTCATTGCTTCAGTTTCGTCAAGAGAGCCCCCATGTGATAAATTTTTTTCTACAGGACTGTGATTATACAATTTTTTATGTTTAAAGGTCTTGCAAGTGAGATGCTAAACTTTAAGTATGATCTGCGCTGAGGTTTTTTATTCGTATTGATTCTGTACGTGTTGGCAGGCGAAAATAGCAAGTGCATGTATGTTGATAGAGAGACATGGTCATCTCTACTGCATTGTCATGACAACTGTCTCTAGATTATTGTGAAGCTTTTGTCTCATGCATAAACCAAGTCTCCAAATGTAGTAATAGTACATCACTTCAAGTTTGAAGTTGGTCTAATTCGCTTAACATGTGAGAAATTTTCACATTAATGTTTTCCTTAATTACATTGTCACCAAGCAACAATCTTAAATGCAGTGAAACTCAACTCATTTTATACATTTTTTTGAACTTCACTTAGAATCACGAACAAATATTAGATGAGTCTTTGAAAATTAGTATAAATAAATAAATAAATTAATTAATTCAGATTTATCTTAGTATAGACATTATTTCATCAAAGACTATTTTGTGTTCTGGAGGAGACTTTGCTTCATTGACAAAACAAAAAAAGGCGATGACGAAAGCGTTAAGTAGTTTTTGGCTATGGCTCAATACTGGTACGAGTGGGTTGTAAAAAGTACACATAGTTTATTATCACCTAAGCATTGTGTATACGTCTTGATGAAGGAAAAAATAATCACTTTAGAATAAAAGATATTTTCTGTCATTGAAAAAATTAGTGAAAACACAGTAAACATTTTTTAAAGCGAAATCAAAGCAAATATGTTCATTTTTCCTATAAATTATCTTGATTTGCAAACTCTCCGTAATTTATTTAATTGATTGATCTCTGCAGTGGTAGAGGTCAGATTGTTTAAAGTGCTTATCTCACAATTTTTTTTTTCGAATTTTCTGATTAAGGTAAAAAAATCATAATAAAAGTTATTTTACAATTTTCTTATTGATGGCTTCGTTTATGAGATAAATGCGTTTCTTTTCTCAAAATCGGCAATAATGGCGAAAATTGCTGCGCGTTCAATTTGCTTGACGAGAGCCTGAATCGAGAAGTATGTGACGTAACATAAGGACAGGAAGTTTTTCTGAAGTGTGATTTTTACTATAATTTCTACTTCATCTACTACGGCTCTGCATCAAAATGCCTGATAGATGTGCAGTTTTCGGCTGTTCAAAACGAGCAAATTATGCGGAAGGAATTTCTCTTCACCGTATACCATTTTACGGTGATGAGCGTCCTGAAGCGAAGCGAAGACGTAAAATCTGGGTGAATTTTGTTGCAAGAAAACGCGCTCGATGGACACCGACTTCGTATTCGGCTGTTTGTTCCGTTCATTTTACTGATGCGGATTACGAAAAATACATGGTAGAAATCCCAGGGACGAAGAATTATACACCAAGGCTGAAAAAAGATGATTTTGGAATCACCGCTTATCCAACAATATTTCTAAAAGATGATGAACCAAAAAATCCTACACCTAGAGAGAAACGACGGGTAAGTAAAAAGATACCATCTGCAAATGAAAAGCGATTTGTTAGTGATATGCATGTCGCAATTATTTGTTGCTTCTTTAATGTTTTATTCCGTATATAGGTTAAAACATGGTAAAAGATTTGGTGAGCGAATCATGCTCTACTTCAACTGATAATTTCATCGAAGAAGAAATCATCACAGAAACGATTGCAGAAGAACTCCCAATTGAAAACACTTTAACCTCCGCATCTAAATTGGCTGAAATCGATAAAATAGAACAGGTATTTAAATTCAGTTCAGTGTTATAAAGTGATAATATATTTTGAAGTACATGAACGCCTTTACAGACCCATCAAACAGTTGGCACCCAAACATTGCCTGCAGATTGTTCTGGTTGTTACAATCTGCGAAAGCAGAACAAACGATTATCTGGGCAATGGCTGTCAGCAAAACACAAGTTAAAAAAACTTAGAAAAGAAGGTGTGCTTTCATTGCCAATTTCAAAATATTTAGAATGTATCATGTTTCTCATTGCTCTGATTTTATTCTCATCCATGCAGTTGAGAGGGACTCCAGCATTAACACTGCAAATACTTCATCAACACGCAGTGACTTTGATCCTAGCTCAAACCTGGAAGATGGGGAAACAGACAGTGTGGATGATGATGATTCTGATGGTGATGATTTTGATGTTGAAATGGAAACAAGTACTGATGACACAGAAGATGATGAAAATTTTTTTGATAATAGTGAGAGTGTTCATGATGCTGATGAATACTCAGAACCAATGTAAGATATATATTAAATAGAAACATTGTTCTGGCTTCACACTAATTAGTATTTGGTGTTACTTCTTTGTTCTTTAGAATCAACACTTCTGACAATGTGCAAAAGCAGCAGAAATACATTGTCTTCTTGACACAGCTTCTTCTGTTGTTTAAAACATGCATGTTTTGTCATGGAAAAAATCCAGTGGTTCATGTTTGTCAAAGTGGAACAATGGTGACCATAAAAACCATGTGCAAAAATGTTGATTGTCGTAAAGAATTTGTTTGGAAAAGTCAGCCATTGATGCCTGGTACGAAGATTGCAGCTGGAAACTTTCTACTTTCATTTGCAGTCTTAGTGGCGGGATCTTCAGCTAGCAAAACATTTCAAGCAATGAAGCATATGGGACTGCAAGTTATTTCACTGCCAACATACTTTAGACATCAGCAAGTATGGCATGTTTTTTTGGTTTAAGCTGCAGATCTAAAGGGTGACTAATATTTAAATTACATTTATAGAACATTCTTTTCCCATCAATATTTAATTTTGGAGAAAGTACCAACAGAAACTGCTGAAAAAAACTAAAGAATGTGGATCAGTTGTTCTGGCAGGTGATGGTCGTCATGACAGTATGGGGCATTGTGCCAAGTACTGTGCCTATACCGTCTTTTGTTGTTCCACGTCATCCATTATTCACTTTTCCTTAGTTCAGGTTTATGACTACATCACATGTTTAATAAAAGTAGAGAAGAAAATGCTAATTTCAACTTCAATTATTCTAGAGAAATGAAGCTGGCAGTAGTCCTGCTATGGAATACATGGCATTTAAAAACACCATGGAATTGCTATCAAGCAGTGGCATACAATTATCAACATTTATATCTGATAGACACATATCTATCAGTAAACATATGAGGGAGAAAATGGCACATGTGAAGCACTATTTTGATTTATGGCATCTAAAAAAAGTAAGCTGAATTTAAGATGTAAAATCTTGAGAGGAGTATGGATTTGCATGTCATTAATGGACAATTTAATGGTACTATTTTTGTAGAACTAACCAAAATAATAACAAAGCTTAGCAAAGAAAAAGGTTGTGAAGAATTGAAAAAGTGGGTCAAACCCTGTGGCAACCATTTCTATTGGAGTGCTTGTTCTACTTATGATGGTGATGGCAAAGTAATTTGGGCAAAGTTCAAATCTTTCCTGAGTCACATAGTAGACAAGCACACCAATTTGGATGATCCACTCTTTTCAAGTTGTTTTCATGGCCCTGATATTCAACCAAGGGAATATTTGTTAGAAGGTTTGTGAAGGCATTATTTAAAGATAACTTCCCTAACAGTTTATCATCATTCTTTGTTGTAATGTTTAAGGTTCAGTTGCCCATGAAAAGCTTTGTGCTAAATTGTTACACCCACAACTAATGAAGTCAATTCACCAGGCTTCACCAGTTGCTCAAACAAGTTGTTTGGAAGGATTCCATTCTGTCCTGAATCATTTTGCTCCAAAAATAATTCATTATTCCTATGTTGGAATGTATTGCAGGTGGGCGAAAATTTCCTATATGACAATGTTAGTTGTTTTGCAACTTCCACAAGTCTTTATTGTTTTAGACACATTTTGGCATCCATCCACTTCACCAAAAACTTAAGGCGTGATGTAAAGATAAAGAATGATGGCAGTTCCCAAATAAATGTGGTGTATCCAAGGTTTAAAAATGGTGAAGGAACTGTGAGGGATGTCAGAGTTAAGCCCAAATTTGGTAAGTTGTTGCTAAATGTGTTGCTTTGCATCATTTCATAGTATTGAATACGACAATAATTTCTTTTTAGAGTATGTGGATGAATTATTTGAGAGTGTGTTGCTGTCAATAAAAGACAAAGACGCATTATCAAATTCACAAAATTTTTTGAAAGAAATGTCCCACCACCAATGAATGTCATGCTGCCAAAGCAACCCAGATCTGAGGTGATACTAAAACAGGTCCGTTGAAAATGCATTGTGGTCAATGATGTCCCCCCCTCAATTCCAGGTAATTAATAATGATTATATAACATGTAGCTAAAAATGGTTTGAAAATCATTTTAAACAATAAAAATGTTTTTGTTTCATGCCAGCAGCTACAAGTGTGCCATTCAGCTGTCAGTCAAATGTGGCAGTTTCAAAAGAAAAAAGTCAGCCAAAATGTTTGACATGTAAGAAGCCAATGAAAGGTCACAAACATGTGGCAGATTGCCCAAAAAATAGGAAAACTTAATTTTCACATCACTCATTTATTTTATTTTCTTCGTACCCTCTATATTCCACACAACATGGAATAGTTGACATATCTGCCAGAACCGACTGGTGAGTCAAGCTTTCAGCTACAGACTTAAGTTCTTGGCAGCACCAGGCCTCTAGAGGATTCTGAAGAAGTGTAACTTGACAAAAACTACACTTGCACCTGATGAATAAAGAAAATCACATTAAAAAATTGTAATCGAGCATCTTTTAACAATTTTTTGCCCAAAAAGTAAAAAAAAGCGATTGTAATCTTAAATAGAAAATTGCACGTTTATGTCTATATTTCATAACTTGAAACCTGAATTGAAATACATTTCATAAGTTGAATTGAAATTAGAAATTTTATTACTCACCAAGAACTCAACTCAACTGTGTGATCAAGTCTTTTTTGTAGCATTTCAAGTTGCTTTTTATGTTCATTTGACTTTTCCACGTAGTCTTCATACCATGCTTGTTCGGCCATTGGTTCATCAGCGTATAGATAGGACTCGGACTCGCCGTAATTTTCATTTATTTTATTATATTCCTGGTCATTAATGTTCTTTGTTTCATCTTCGATGACATAACCGGGAATATAATCATACTCCGAATCACATTGCGAACTATGAGAGCTTTCCGAATCAGAATTCAACTCCGCCATCTAATCGTTTATAACAACAAGACCTTGACTTGTTCCTTAAGTTACGTCACAGAGACTTGATCCAGGCCCTATGCCAATTATCAACTTTTTCTGTCAAATTTCATATTTGATCAATAATAATTCGAAAACAATGCATCGCATGGAAAAATTGTAATATAAGTTTTAGATTACTTTTGAAGAAGCAATACGAAAATTCGAAAAAAAAAATTGTGAGATAAGCACTTTAAAAGACAAATACACACTCAATTGTACAGAAGAATCATGCTGTGCATGAGTTGCATTGTTCTTATTTTATAATAAAGTATAAAACACACTGGTTATCTAATTGTACGAATTCTTAAAGACATGAGTAAAAAAATCTCTAACACATATCAGCTTAAAATCGATTGAATGAGGAATACAAATGAAATAATTTTGTATATTGCCTCTTAAAAAATATGCAAAATGAAATAAAATAAACATACAATTTTTCTAACTTTTTAAATTTTCAAAAAGTTGACAAAGGGTTATATATTAAATGCTTCGTACAGATTCACAACAAAAAGTCTTTAGTATTTTCCATTTAATTTTAAACTTTTTTATAACAGAGAACATTAATGTATGAAGAAAGAAGTAATTTGGGCAAAGCATTTTCTCTTTCGCTGAAGAGTGCAGACTGCCAATCAAAGGCTTGAAAGGATAATTTAGTGACCTAAGAACATAACTTGAGTTCTGGTCACTAAGCATTCAGATGTTTTTTTTAGGAGAAAACACTTTCGAAAACTACGCGCATAAACTTTCTCTTTACATTTTCAGTTGGGATGTAAAAAGCATTTATGGTTATTTAAAGTGAAATATTCTAGCTGATAGTTCATAACAATGCTGTCTCTAATTTCTCTAAATTTTTTTCAAAATAATACATAATATAAATCCTAACAAGGTTTTTATATTCACATGAAAAATATGTGACTTGGACGAGATTTGAACTCGTACCTTCGGAATACTAGTCCTCCGCTTTACCTGTGGAGCGGTGATGCGGTGGCACAGATGATATGGTGCCATCCAGTAATTGCTATTATGTCATAATTTTAAAATAGCTTGCAGACAGTATACAAGCAGTGGAAAGCTTCATTAAAAATAACAGAAATTGACGGGGACATTAAGATAGTGGTGAGTGTACGATCCAGGACGCGTCTATGAAAGACGACGTACACGACACTGTGTTCTAGCGTGGTTGCGTTGCCATGCCGTTTGCTGGGTTGTCAATCAATCGTTCTACCACTTAAATTTGGCATTTTTACGTCGCAAAGCCAACGTAAGATTTCAGAGGTAAGCTTATTGCAAAAACATTGGTCAAAAAACGCTACTTTCCGTTTCATTATAATTTCGTTTAACACTTTTATTTTATACCACGATTTCGTGCAGTGTAAACCTATAAAGATAATATTTGACAGTATATGCATGACAATAAATCCGCCAATTTTTGTTTTAAGTGTTCGAGCTCATCGCATCATGTTGGGTTGTCAAATCGTAACAAATTTTTTGATCTAAATCGCCAACGCACTGACCGCGCTAGAGCCCATTCTCACATACGTCGTCTCAGAAGGACGTGTCGCTAATCATAAACTTGTTAGTAATATTTGAAAGAATACAAACGTGCAAAATAATTGGCTTTTTGTTAGTAGACTTATAGTCGAGGATTTAAGGATGGACAAGTATTAAATACATTGTCTCAGAAGCAAAGCTATTCATTGTTATGGTATAAACAGATAAATTCATACTAACTTGATATTTAGTTACTGAAATTGTAATGCAATCGATAGACGAACGGCGCTCACGACTTACAAACATGCACTACCTTTTTGGTTCCGCTAAGTAGATGACACAATCACAGCACTACATGTAGACGAGATTGATAACTTTCACACTCACATCAACAAACAAAACAGCCACATACAATTTACCAAAGATGTCGAAGAAAACGGAACTCTTCCTTTTCTCGACTGTTTGGTAAAACATGACAACCAAAAACTACGAACAACAGTTTATCGCAAGCCAACACATACTGACCGACTACTAGAACAATCATCTTACAACCCTACATCACACAAAGCCACCACAATCAGAACATTAACAAGACGTGCACAAATCATATGTGATTCACCGGACGCTCTACAAACGAAAACATCTATCTCAAACGTGCTTTTGACAAAAACAACTATAACTCTGACTTTATCAAACGCAACCCTTACAACTTAACGAACCCAACGAAACGAACAACTCAGTGACAACAGCAACGATACCTTACATCAAAGGTACGTCTGAGACTATCTTGCGTATCTTACGACCATACAACGCACGTGTAGCACATAAACCAATCACAACGTTACGACAAGTACTAAAGAACATAAAGGACGAAGAGTGTTGTATTATTGTTTTATTGGTATTGGTCTCCCTGTGCCACTATCTGCGGTACTTCAGACCAGCGGTACTCATATATATATATAATCCGCCATATTATTGTTTTGTAGTATTTTAAGTAGTGTTTTAAAGTTAAATAAAGCCAGAGAATGGTAAATTACAACAATTTATTTAACTTTATTTAAATTCTTCAATATGGAAACGATATTGAAACCGCAACGTCTCGACTTGGACCCAAATTCGCCGTCAGCCGCGAAAGAGTGGAAACATTGGCTCCGAACGTTCAACAACTTCATTCAAGAATGCGGCGATAAAGCCCCAAACAAACACCGTACTCTCATCAATTATGTCTCTCACAACGTTTACGATTGCATCGAAGATTGTCAGGACTTCGATTCGTCTATTGAAGCACTAAATAATCTGTATATCAAGCCTCCGAATGAAATATTTGCACGTCATCTACTTGCTACAAGGCGCCAAAAGCCTGGTGAGTCGCTTACAGAGTTCCTACAGGAACTTAAAAAGTTAAACAAGGATTGTAACGTCAGAAGTGTGACTGCAGAACAATATAGGGAGGAATTAGTCCGTGACTCATTTATTAATGGTCTTCTATCACCACTAATCCGCCAACGACTTCTGGAGAACAGGCAACTCGAATTGAAGACGGCGTTTGATCAGGCCAACGCGTTAGACTTAGCCCAGAAAAACTCTGAAGCCTATGCTCCAACCGAAAACTCGGCAGCTTCTATTTCTACTGAAAGTGGTGGTGAGGAACCTTTACCAAGTGATAACCATGTGTCAGCAGCAGTCAAACCCCAAAGAAAATGTTATTTCTGTGGCGGCCCTATTCACAATAGAAAGGAGTGCCCTGCACGTAGCTGTGTCTGCAACAATTGTGGTAAAACTGGCCATTACGCTAAAGTTTGCCAGTCTCAGGCTGTAAAAGGGACTAAGACTACAGCATCAATAAGATCTGCCTCACTCTGCTCCATAAGTGCCGCCTGTCCAAAGAGCCTTAGGCAAGCATCCACCAAAGTCAATGTCAACAATACTGTTCTTACTGCCCTTGTTGACTCTGGGAGTTCAGATAGCTACATCAACGACAAGGTAGCTAACCAGCTCAACCTCAAATTACTCAAGTCAGATGACAGTTTGTCTATGGCTCTCACATCACTTAAAGCCAAAGTTCTTGGCCATTGCTTTGTTGACATCCAACTAGGCCACCAGTGCTATTCATCTGTACGTCTAGGGGTACTGAAGGATCTCTGTAGTGATATCATTCTTGGCCAGGACTTTCAAAGGGAACATAAAAGTGTTGTCATTGAGTTCGGTGGGGAAAAGCCCGAACTTAAAGTACCCAACGGGGTACCTGTATGTGCTCTTGCAGCAGCATCTATTGAGGAACCATCCCTCTTCACGAACCTCCTCCCCGAATGTAAGCCTATCGCAAGCAAGTCGCGGAAATTCAGCAGGGAGGACCAGGAATTTATTAAACAAGAAATTAACCACCTACTCGTTGAAGGCATAATCAAACCTAGCACCTCGCCCTGGAGGGCTCAAGTCGTCGTATCAAAGGACCCACTACAACGACACAAGAAGCGGCTTTGCATTGATTATTCTCAAACCGTCAACCTCTACACGGAACTCGATGCATACTCGTTACCCCGTATCGACAACATGGTCAACAACCTAGCTTCATATAGAGTGTTCTCAACGTTCGACTTGAGGAGTGCCTATCACTAGGTACCGATCAAGAAAGCCGACCGAAAATTTACCGGTTTCGAGGCCAATGGTAAGCTTTACCAGTTCTGTCGCATCCCCTTTGGAGTAACCAACGGCGTAGCAGTTTTCCAAAGAGCGATGGACAAGTTCGTAGAAGAGGAGGGCCTGAAAGATACATTTCCTTACCTCGATAATATAACTGTTGCAGGCTACGATCAGTTCGGGCATGACGAAAATGTGAGGAAATTCAGAGAGGCTGTAAAGCGCCGAAACCTCACTCTGAATGAAAACAAGACAGTAGAGTCCAAGTCTTCTATCAATCTACTTGGTTACTGTATAGGGAATGGTGTCATCGCCCCAGATCAGGAAAGGCTTCGTCCACTTAAAAGCTTCACTCCTCCCGAAAATTCCAAATCCTTGAAAAGAGTTATCGGTATGTTTGCATACTACGCAAAATGGATACTAAACTATTCTGACAAAGTACAACCGCTACTACAAGCAACCTCATTTCCACTTGATGGCGATGCTCTGAATGCATTCACAATGCTGAAGGAGGAGCTGCAGAAAGCGTCGTTACACTCTATTGACGAGAGCCTCCCCTTCATTGTAGAGACTGATGCTTCAGAAACTGCCCTGTCTGCTACACTAAATCAAGGAGGCAGACCTGTAGCGTTTATTTTTAAGACCCTCTAAGGGAGTGAGCTCCACTATCCTGCGGTAGAGAAGGAAGCATTGGCCATAATTGAAGCTGTCAGGAAGTGGCAACATTTTCTTGCAGGCAGACATTTTACACTCAAAACCGATCAGCAGTCAGTCGCCTTCATGTTTGACAACGGAAGACGCACCAAAGTAAAGAACAATAAAATCCAGGACTGGAGGCTAGAACTAGCCTC